GGGCCCCCCCCCCCCCCCCTCACGCCGCAGAAGATAGCAGAAGAGTTCACGTCTGAAAGTATAGAGTACCTCTGATTCTCGAATAGCGATAGGGAGAGAGTTCCAAAATGAGGAGGCAGCATAGAGGAAGGAGCGCTGGTAGGTGGTGGTTCTGCAGGGGGGTGGGGTGGGGCCAAGTGGAAAGCACGGGAGGTGGCACGGGTCGAGGTGCAGAAACGGAAATTGTGAGCGAGATAGGGAGGAGAGCCTGATTAAAGAATCGAGAAAAAGAAACAACCTACTAAAAAGTCTCTCCTGCCATCAGCAGTGACCCACACTAATTTAGCGTATTACGGTGAGATATGTTCGTCTTTACGGAGGTTGTAGATAAAGCGTACGCAAGCATTTAAAAGACGCCTTAGCTTAATCTTTAATTGCACTGTGAGAGCCGTGAAGACTGCTGCGCAGTAGTCAAACAAAGGGAAGGTTAGCGAGGATACGAGCCGCTCATGTAATTGCGTGGAGAGACAGTTCTTCCGATGTTTCAATCTCCACAAGACCCCATTAACCTTATTCGAGGTAGATCTAATATGATCAACCCAGTTAAGAGTGCTGCTAATTGTGACGCCAAGGTCAGTCACCCGATCGACAAGCTCGGTAGGAGAGCTGTTAACGAACAGTTCAATATTGATTAGTTTTAGGGCTATTTACGAATCGAACACTGCCTAGGAAAATGGCCTTGGTTTTGTCAGGATTTAATTCAAAGCGGTTCTGATAAGACCAATTCGAGATGTTGGCGATATTATCGCTAATCCTCCCCAGGATGGCCTCAAGATCATGAGGATGAAAATGCAGATAGATTTGAAGGTCATCGGCATATAGGATGTGATGACAATAATTGAGAGATTGATTAAGATCATTTATGTATATGGGGAAAAGTAAGGGACCAAGTACGGAGCCCTGCGGGACTCCCGCAGAAACAGGCAGCCATGACGAGACACCGCCAGGTCCACGAACGCGCTGGCTTCTGTCGGAAAGGTAAGACCGAAACCAATCCAAAACAGGATTAGGTATCCTGCAGTTGGTGAGCTTATGCAAGAGCAGGCCATAATTTATACAGTCAAAAGTCTTGAAAAAGTCAAAAAGAATGAGGAGAGTGACCATTCTTCTATCTATAACCAACCTGATATCGTCCGTGAGCTTAAGGCGGTTTGTGTGTTATGGCCTCTTTTGAAACCAGTCTGTAGAGGGTCCAGGAAATTGTGTAGATTTAGATGAGCAGAAATTGGTCAAAGACTAGACGTTCAAGTATTTTTGAGAGAATACAAAGAAGAGAGATAGGTCGGAAATCAGATGGGGAATGTGGATTCTTTATTTTAGGGAGAAGAATAACAAAAAATTTCCAAGGAGAGGGAAAGGTAGAGGAACTGAGAGAGAAGTTGAAGAGGACGAGGATGACTGGAAAGATGACTGGAAGGCTATCGAAGAGCAGGTGGCGATTGATACCATCAGGGCCAGCAGCATTTGATGAACATCTGGTAAGCGCCTGCCACAGGGAATCAGGAATGATGTGAAGGAAATATAAGCTGGAAAGATCTGATATTGAGAGAGTGGAGGATAGTAATGAAGGGGAAAAGTTGGAAGTTAAAGCAAGAGAAGTTTTTGCAAGAAGAATAGGGAAATTAGGTATGGAGGATAGGCGGTCCGAGATAAAAAAACGATTGAGATTATCCGGCGAGAAGTCGGGATGTAACGAGAAGGACTTGGGTTTAGCGAGGCCAAGTGCCCTGAGCTCTGATCAAAGGTGTGCAGAAGTTTTTATCGCTCCAAGACGTATCGAAAGGAACTCGTTTTTATGAGTCAACGAGGAGGTTGACCCGGTTACACAAACTACGAAAGAAACTCCAGTTAGTAGGGGAAGTGTGCAAATGGAATCTCCTTCTGACTGCATTCCTTTTACGCATGAGGTCTTTAACGGTTCGGTCCAAGGCGCCGAAGGCCTTTTGGCTTTAATTCTGCGTAGAAGAGCATGAAGTTCTAGAGCGGAGCAGAGGTAGTGGTTTAAGATATCGATTTTATTATCGAGGCAAGAGGAGTAGTCAATGACCGACCAGTCGAAGGAAAGAAGCGTGTTTTTAAATGCAACGGAGTCAAATAAGGAGTATTCGCGAACATTAAAAAGATGAAGAGGAAGGTAACAGTAAGGAAAGTCAAGGGACACCTCTATGAAATCGTGTAAGGAGAGAAACGAGAGACCAGACTGGCGGAAAGATTTTAAAAATGAGCTATTGCTTATAAAACAGTGATCGATACGAGATTGAGACGAAACAGTACGATGAGTGTCGGAAAAAGGAACGATGAAAACATGATAACTTGTTGCATAGTCACAAAAGGATTCTGTGTCGAAGGAATGTCTATTGAGATCAATATTAAAATCGCCAATGATGACAGCAAAGGAAGGAGGAAACCTCTCAAAATCCTCCTAGAACAAGGAGAGACGACCGATCTTGGTGGACGGTATACCACGGCCAGCAAGAACGACCCGCGGTCCGCAGCCGTCACGCTCAGGATCAAATACTCAGGTTGGGCGCAATAAATTTTAGGCGAAGAGACCAGTATCCGCGCCCGCAGTCCCGCCTTAACATAAACGCCAATTCCACCACCTCCCCTCCTTTACCTATCGGACCGCACGAGATGGTAACCGAATAAAGCTACAAAATTGTCGAGGATGTGAGGCTTAAGCCACGTCTTCGACATTGCTATGATGTCGTACGTGTTGTCCGAAAAATACTCGCTGAACTCCGAAAAGTGGGAAGGAGAGATTGGCAGTTTACATGACACAGCCGAAAAGACTCAGGAGGCTCGGATTCACCAGTCGCCGAAGGTCACGCCTTACACTAAGAAACCCGCTTAGGAGCGGCTCAGACGCTGAGCTTACCGATTCCCGCAGGTGGTTCGGCACCATTCACAGCGGACGTGGGGGTCAGTGGACTGGTTGAGGGGGGAGGATCAACACTCCGCACTACACAAAGTGAGGCCGCGCCGCAGGAATTGGGAGCCGCGGAGGTGGGAAACTCATCGCCGCTGAGAGCCCCCGAAGGCCGAAGGGTGCCAGTCATGATGACATCCAGGTGAGCCAGATCATACTACGTATGATAACAGGTGGTGTTGAAGAAGAGCGCCTCGCCCGCACAACACCATCCCGAACCCAAGCGCGATAAAGACGACCCTCACCGACCGTACGCCTTGCCGCGGAGAAGACTTTATGTGTAAACGCTGGCAGTCTCTCGTTTATCAATCCTGGAGCCGGCAAGCCCAGAAGAAATCTCGGAACTATCAAGCACTCCTTTAGTTCTCTTCCCATCAATCCACGAGTTCCGAATCCCGTTGGAGGTCAGTCTGACTACCACAGGCCGCGGTCGGTCATTCCCATCCAGAATCCGGAAACACGAAGAAATGTCTCCCGGTGAGACCATCACTCCCGCTGCGATGCTGACCGCTGCCGTACCCTCAAGAGAATGCTCCCTTATTCCAAACAAAATAAGCTTTGAGTTAAGCTTATCACGCTCGAGGGCCTCAAGTCGAGTCTCGAGGACGCCTGTAGAACCGCTGCTCGCCTCCGAACCAGAGTGACCCTCGAGCGCACCGATGCGAGCCTCGAGAATGGTGTGCCTATCCTCGAGGGCAGAAATCTATGTTCTTATGGCCGCCAGTCTAGTCTGGATTCTATATTAGACACCTTCTCTAAAAGCAATGAAAGGATGCTCCAGATGGAGTCAGGTTCAGATGGCAAAGCAGAGGCATCGTCTGAATGGTCCGTGGCACCCGAAACATGAAATGAATGCTTCAAAGGAGTTGCAAACAGGGCAATTAAGCACAAGCGCATCCGCCTGATTCGAGCCAGATCTCACGTAGTCCTCATGATAAACATGTTTCGAGGCATTTGCGCAATGGCACACATGTGCAGTAGTGATGAATTTCTTACAGAAAAAGCAGGCTAGAGTCGTCGTGTAAATATGTGTTTTGACAGCTCACCGCAAACAAACAAAGCGAAACGCCGACCGCGCGCGGCACCCGTCCAGTATCTCGAATTCAAACACGTGCGAACAGCGCATGCGCCAAGCGTTGAAATAGGCGACGAGTTCTAGAAGTTTCCCTGAAATGTAATCCAGCAAATGTGACAAAAAATTAGCCAAAAAACACCTCACCCAGCGCAAAGAAGCAGGCACCGTTAACCAAAAATGTCAAGTGTGACAAGCCCTGACTATATGTCTGAAACAGAAGGCCCCGCAGGGCAGCAAACAGCAAAAAACAGCGAAAGAAGCCAAAGCACGAAATCGACACGTCAAAGTATACTCACAGCGCCAGAGAGAGAGAGAGGGGGGGGGGAGAGAGCGAGAGAGAGAGAGGAGTTATGTCGCGTAAATTGCCTTACATACTCGCATTTACGTTTGAGTCTCTCGAGTTATCAGAACTGATCGAGGTAACTGTCTGCATATCATGTTTGTACGGTCAGATATCTTTGAATTCGTAGCGTGGCCGTGTAGTTGCACTATTTGCAGGGGATTTATTTTATTATGTTCACTTTTTCAATGTCGACAGAGGTACTTTCTTTACGCGGAGAGGTTATTTACCATCGGTGGTCTTCATAAATTAAACGTATGTCTTTTCGTTTTTGTTTCTCTCAGTTTCGCCAGTCAAATCAGTGTCTGATACTGACACATTTCCTTATTGAATGAACTTTCGCTTCGCGTTGCTCCTTAATCGGAAATGTAATCATAATCTGACATAATAAAGTTCTGTTGTTTCGTGCTTTATTGTTTCAAGCTCGTTGTTTGAAGCGAACATTAGAAAGGAAACGGGATTGCGATCGATCGTTTTTTCACGGCATGGTAAAATGTTTCTCTCATGTACGCAGGTGGTAGCACTTTCGAGAAGCATGATCACTACAACGGTTCACTGCTGCATTTCTATCGTGTCGAGAGGCGGCAAATGGGGGCGTATCTCTGCATCGCTAGCAACGACGTGCCGCCAGCGGTTAGCAAACGGGTGACGCTCGCTGTGAATTGTAAGCTCCGTTCGCTCGCACGATCTGTTCTAATTCATTACAATCTGATTCACAAATTACGCTTATGGAAAGTAATTTGCTAATATTTTTCATATAGTTAAGACGCGTTATCGCGATTTGAAAGAGAAAACAGTTAAGGGAAGTTTCAAAAATGAGACAAACTTACAAAAAAAAGGAAATGAAAATTTGATTTATTTCACGAAAAGAGTAATTTAATAAAAATGGAACTCCTTATTTCTCTCCATACAATTTCTAAAATAGATTCGAATACTTATCCTGGATATAATATTAGTCAATTCAAAAGCTACTATTTTGCGCCACGAAAACTCGTGCTTAAGTTTCAATTATGCGATAAAAATAAAAGGAAATTTTTTGTCAAAAAAAAGCTTGATTTTGACGTGCATATTTTTAGAAAAAAATTAAATTTTCATTTCCTTCTTAAAAAAAAACGAGCTCTATCTTTGAGACTTCCTTCGTACATTTATGAAAAGTTTCTGCTCTCGTTTGCTAAACTCATTTTATTTCCATAGTCGCACCTGTCGTAAAAGCACCTAACCAGTTATTGGGCGCTCCTTTGGGTACAGACGTGCAGCTCGAGTGCTATGTCGAAGCATTTCCGAATACGATCAATTATTGGGTAAAGAATCAACGAGGCACAGAAGACGAAATGTTATTGGAAGGGTGAGTTCTCATTCGTGATTTTCTTAAAGGAATAATCATACATGATAATATAGCTTAAGATATCAAGTACTCATACGGAATCGAATATGCTACTGTAATATTGCTGGATGTTACGATATTGCTAGAATGTTTTGTGTTCTATGGGATAACTATAAAAGGACTATGCCTAGTTTCTTATGCAAATTAAGGTCCCAGATCGTTGAGATATAGCTAATGGATTTGATTGTAAGGTATACAAAAAGGATAAAAAAATTTCATAGGGACAACCTTTACATTTTACCCTATAATGATTCTCCTAAGTGTTAGAGCTGTCCAAAATTTGCTATTATGAGTGTGTACGTGGTGTGACGATAAAGTTCGGTGAATTTTATTAGAAAATAGACACAACTTAATTAATGTAAAAATGATCCTCATTGTCCTTCAAAGTAATCCCTCTAAAGTCAATACATTTCTAACAACGTTCGTACAACTTGTGGAAACTCAATAAAAATACATTGTTGAATATCATCTTAAGTTTTGTTGTCACACAGTTCTAAGTAGAACGAATAGTATGCAGAAATCATAATAACATCATAAGGGCATCAAGATCTTATTTGTTAAAAGTTCATTTTTAAGTATCAAATGTCATTATAATGACCTATAACATAGGCCGACAAAATTTAGGAGAGGTCTTGTGCTTTGAATTTAAAAAAAATGTTTCTGTAGAATTTTGAAGCGCTAAAAACGACTTCATTGTTTGTTTTTTTTTCATCATCCTCCATTTGTTAAATAATCGCAAAAATAGATTTTTCTGAAAATAACTTTTTTATTAATAATGATAAATTACAAATTAACTAAAAACTAATAAGTTTTTACAGACTCCTTTAATTAAAACAATTAAGAAAAACCATAAAACATATATTACAGGCAATAGGAGTCAACGCTGGTTATCAATTAGCGCAATTCTTCTTAATACTAAAAATATAAACCTTGACTTTGAACATTTCCACTCATGGTTTGAGTCTTCATCAGCAATCTTTCCCCCTAGCGCAACCATTGAAGTATTGCATAGCAAAATAATATCTCCAGCGTGTTTTTCTCAAAAATTGAACCGTTTACTATTGTGAGGTAAGTCACATACTCACAAAGTTAGAAAGCTGAGTGGCAATGAGAACTCACCTCACCTCACACAATCGACGCTTCTACACTGAACAATGAATCTCTCTTATTTAACATTTTGTAACTCGTTAATATGTTAAAAATTATAGTCAAATTTTTAAAATAATAACTGCGAGGACAATATATATCTTGTCATTTCGACAGTCGATTAAATAATGATTGCTAAACAAGCAACATAGCGGTCAATTTGAAGACAAACAAACTTATGATATGTATTATATTACGAACAAACCTTAAAGTTTATTGAGAATCTTAATGTACGCATGATTTAAACCAACGGTATCATGTTGTAGATTTAGCCCATTTGTCTGTCGATTAATATGCATCATCTCCGATATTAACCTTTTGTTATAATAATCCTCTACATCCAAAATCTCTACGTTTTACCAATCAAAGTCATGATCGTTTTGCAACCTATGCTCTGTATTCCGGAGTGTATTCAATGCTTTTTGCAATTAGATGAAAACTTTTCTCTTCCTATTAGTTATAATAGCAAATTAATTTTTGAATTCATAAAAAATGTTGAATTTAGTATAAAGAAATTACAGACGTCGTTACACAACTCAATTAGAAATAATTCTATTGCAATAATTAATAGCCTCTTTTCTCTCAAACAAAAAAAGAATTTTGTTATCAAAAAATTACAAAAACCAACACCAAGCAATTTTTAAAGGATAATAGTAACATTATTTTCACTAATGCTGACAAAGGCAACTTAACGGTAGCACTAGACAAAAACATGTATATTGAAAAAGTTAAAAAATGCATGAAGACACATATCCTACGAGTAAAGTTAACAATAACTTGAGGCAATTGTTGGCAGGATGGAAAAAACAAAATTACATTTCGTAATCAATGTACAAACAACTTTATCATAGCGATGGTAACATTCCTAGGGTTTATGCGTTGCCAAAAGTGCATAAACTAAATTGCCCATTTAGAATCATCATATCCTCTTTGGATAGTGTATTACATAATTTGGCAGAGTTCTTACATAGTTTGATTGCCAAAAGCATACCTAAAGCGGCTAGTAACATCGAGAACAATTTTGAATTAGTTCAGAAATTAAAAAACATTAAAAATGATCGTGGTTTTAGTTTGATATCGTTGGATGTAATATCACTTTTTACCAACATTCCAACGGATTTAGCAATAGATGCTCTTTCCAATAGATGGGACTTTATTTGCAGGAATTGCAATTTACCGAAAAAGGAATTTATCAAAGCTGTTCGCTTAGTGTTGGATTCAACTTATTTCACTTTTGACAATCAATTTTATAAACAAACTTTTGGAACGTCTATGGGTTCATCGCTTTCTCCAATTGTTGCTAACTTAGTTATGATGGATTTGGAGAATTGGGTGTTGAGCAATATTCAACACCATATACCATTATATTATAGATATGTAAACGATATCGTTCTTTGTTTACCGAATTTTAAAATTGATTCTATTCTCGAAAAATTCAATTCATTCCATCCAAGGTTACAATTCACCTTGAAATTGGGTGATAATTCTATCAATTTTTTGGACACAACTATAATTTTAAAAAATAATCCATTAATATTTGACTGGTATCAAAAACCAACATTTTCGGGAAGAGTTTCGAATTTTTTGTCTCAGAGAGAGGAGCACCCAATCTCGCAAAAGAAGGGCATAATATTTGATTTGGTAGATAGAGTTTTTTATATCTCACATCCACAATTTCACAAAAAGAATCTTGAATTTATTGTGAGGATACTTTTGGAAAACGATTATCCATTATATTTTATATTCGATACCATTAATGAAAGAGTTAAAACATTAATAAATAAATTGAATTCTTGCTCAGCTAAAAGATCAAATAACAACTTACCTAAAGAACGGGTTAAATGGTTTTCCGTACCGTATTTAGAAGAGATACCGAATAAATTCAAGAATGCAATTAATGGGGTTTGCCATAGAGTTCCATTTTTTAGTTTGAACAAGTTGAATCAGTTTATTAAAGTTCATAAAGATTCTTTAAACAATGAATTAAAAAGGACTGTAATCTACAAGATCAATTGTTGTGATTGCGAAGCTTCCTATGTGGGACAAACAGGGAGAAAATTAAAAACTAGACTTCCTGAACACAAAAAGCATATCCATAGTCAAACATTCACTCATTCAGTGATTACAGAGCATAGGTTGCAAAACGATCATAACTTTGATTGGCAAAACGTAGAGATTTTGGATGTACAGAATTATTATAACAAAAAGTTAATATCGGAGATGATGCATATTAATTGACAGACCAATAGGCTAAATCTACAACATGATACTGTTGGTTTAAATCATGCGTACATTGAGATTCTCAATAAGGTTTGTTCGTAATATGATACATGTCATAAGCTTGTTTGTCTTCAAATTGACCGTTATATTACTTGTTTAGCAATCATTATTTAACCGATCGTCGAAATGACAAGATACATATTGTTCTCGCAGTTATTATTTTTAAAATTTGACGATAATTTTTAACATATTAACGAGTTACAAAATGTTGCGTAAGAGAAATTCATTGTTCAATGTAGAAGCGTCGACTGTGTGAGGTGAGGTGATTATTAATTTTCAAATTATACATACGATAATTTAATCATTTATATAATTTTAGCTTGAATTCTCATTTAGCTTTCTAACTTTGTGAGTATGTGACTTACCTCACAAAACAGTAAATGTTTCAAGTTTGAGAGGGAAAACGTTGGAGATATTATTTTGTTATGCTATACTCCAATCGTTGCGCTAGGGGGAAAGATTGCTGATGAAGACTCAAACCACGAGTGGAAATGTTCAAAGTCAAGGTTTATATTTTTAGTACTAAGAAGAATTGCGCTAATTGATAACCAGAGTTGACTGTTATTGCCTGTAATATATGTTTTATAGTTTTTCTTAATTATTTTTTATTAATTTTTTCCGGCTAAACGAAAAATGACATCAAGGTCTGTTTTGCGGCATTTAACTTAGAAATGTCCCAACAATACTAAAAATATTTTGTCAATGTTTATAAAAATATTCTATGCAAATCAAAAACAAAAAACTTTGGAAAAATCGTAAAAAAACCGGAAAAAATTGACAAATTTTGAAGTATAAAACCAAATAATTCGAAAGAAAAACATCGTAAAAAATATCTGACAATTTATACTTATAGCTATATGTTTTTAATTTAAATCCTTTTTGGAAAAACTAATTTATGACCATTTGTTCAGAAGTTATCGAATTTAAAGCGCCGGAACAGCTCATGAGTCACTTACAGTACGTGATATTCTCTCGAGTCTGACACATAACCACCGGATACAGGAGCATGTTGTGTCTTTTTTAGTAACTGATTTCAAACCTGAAGTAAAAAATGTGCAATTCAAAATGGCGAATCCAATATAGAGGACAAGAATTTTAAAAAATTCGTACATGAAAATCGATATTTGGTGATTTTGTAAGTTTCTGATTACTTATACTGTAATCACAATTGTTGAATTGAAAATAGCAGATCCAATGGTGATGAATAATAAGTTATTGTACACTTAATGATGATTTTAGCGTTATCCATTCTGTATCACGTGGAGGTATCACATTATTATAATAAGTTCGTAGATAATCAAAGTAGCAGTTTCCGTACAATCGCAAAAGTCAAGCAAGTACGCTAGCCGCGATATACCCTCGGTTAGGTGATCGCTTAAAAGCATCATAAAATTAATTCATTAATTTAGGGAAAAACATGTTTTGTTACACCCCAATAGTTACTATTGTTCAATAGTATCATTGGTTCTCAATCATATTTTTTTATAATAAATGTGTATACGCATGCTTAACGGAGATTCAGAGTAATAAACAGAGCAG